AATGCATACTCTGTATGACACTTATGTCTGAGAGTGAAATAAAGTAGAACACAGTTAAGGGAAATGGGAAGTCCCATGGGTGAAAGACTGGAGGTATAAGAAACTCCTGATGTTTAGACATACCCCTCACTGAATCTGTTTTGGCTTCTGAGATTTTTCTCCTCTATTTGTGTAACTTGTACACCCCTTAAGGCAATCCTCTTCAAGCAGGAAGGTTTGTGTATGGGCTCACCTTGAATACTCCTCACAGTGTATCTCTGGCACAGTAATATACAGCAGTGTCCTCAGGGGTCATAGATCTCAGCTGCTGGAAGAACTTGTTTGTGGATGTGTCCATGGAAATGGAAAGTCTATTTTTCAGAGATGGGTCATAGTATGTACTTCCATCTGTGTATATTTCTGACATCCATTGAAACCCTTTTCCAGGTATCTGACATATCCAGTGCCAACAGTAACCACTGGTTGTGATGGAGAATCCAGAGACAGAGCAGGGAGAGACAGGGTCTGTGAGGGCATCATCAGCCCTGGGCCTGACTCTGTTAGTGTTGGCCCAGACAGAACCTCTGTAGACCAGAAGAGTCAGAGTGAGTTTATCCCATCACTCACTTACTCCTTGTGAATCTTGAATTCCCAAAGAAACTCACCCAAAAGGGCTACCAGCAGGCATACAAGGGACCAGGTAATCTGCATGACCATCTGGAGAATGTAAACCACCACTCAGGGCAAAAATGGTATGCATATTTCTATGAGCGTCCCCTGGGGGATTTGCATGTGGTATGCAGGGAAGGATATAAGAAGCTTAAGGTTATAAAAACCACTGGTTCTTCCTGTTCCTCATACTGTTGTTGATGCAACCACCAAGCCTGGTCTGAGTTGTTCTGTCTTCAGCTATCTCTGTGCACAACAGACCAAAACAATGCTCATCTCTGTTTCATCTTCATAATTGTTGTTATGCTTTTAGCCTATTGCATTTGTCACTGTGCCAATCCATAACCTTTTAAACCCCCCCCCCTTTTTCTTCACTATCCACTTTACCAAACAACATGTCCTTCTCCAAGAATAGGTTCCCCCTGAAAACATGTCTGATTTATGAAAGACAAAGTCTTGCAATCCTGCTTTCTAAGGATCATCCTTGCTGTACTTCTTCCAAAAAATATTTATTTGTTCTTCTGGTAGTCTTTTGGTACCTTTAATACTCTTGATTTATTCTTTTTTGTTTTTTGTTTTTTACTTTTAATGTTCTTCTCCAACATCATAATTCGAATTCATTAATTCTTCTATGGCCTTAGATTTGTTGTTGTTGTTGTTAAGTGCCATCGAGTCGGTTC